GAGCAACTGTAAACCTACTTTGGCCCCTCTCTGTATCTTACAAGTTCCTTGCTAAGTGGGTAAACTCATGTAATTGTTCAATAAAGTAGTGTTACTATTATCCTTAATGTGCCATTAAGAAAGGTTACCTGAGCTATTTTGGGTTCGGAAGCCAGGACAAAATATGACAAATTCAATATGATATCATATTTTTAATGTAAAGTTTTTTCTGGCCAGTGATTAGCTTTAAGAATTTTGCAAAATATACCTTTAGCCTCAATGCAAAAGCCTTGGGTTGCAATTCTGGCTCCGTCACTAAACTAGCTGTACGAGCAATCTTGGGCCAGTGACCTAATTTCCTTATTGCTCCTTTTCATTTCTGTGAAATAAGGATAATTATAGACCAGCTCTTAACGTTCTTTATGAGGATTAAATGAAATAATACAATTTAAAGTAGCCAGAAGATTGATCACACAGTTAATGATCAAAAATATTAGCTCTTACTATTAAAAAAGAAAAGGAGTAGAGCACTAGAAGCATGAACATTAACAAGGATGTAAACCTAAAGTTGTGATATCCTCAGAATTTTATGTTGCCTTAAGTGTTGTAAAAGGTCTAGATGTAAAAGCTTGTACTAAAATAAGCCACAGTGGTCACTAAAACCGAGGGACATTAGTCACATTGCAGAAGGAGGCTTCCCTGATGCATACCTGCTGCAGCCATTCTCAAAATGGGAAACTACTGTACTTTATTGAGTTGGAAAAGCTAAATTAGCAATTCCAGATTGACTGGAAATCATGCATATGCTGAAATTTTTGTTAGGTAGAAAATGTAATTTAATTTACAAGGCCTTGGCTTGCACAGCAAACTCGGGGGCGGGGATCTAAGGCACGTTAAATTGAAGCTATTCACATAAATGAAACATATATATTGGTTAATGGAAGGTTGATTTTGATATGAACTTCTTTAACAAGGGAATTATGATTTAATCATACTACATAAGTACAAACAGATTTTTATGGCATTCACTTTTTATTGGAGGTTGGGATGTTTATTATGTTCTATACTTAAAACACAACCTCTGAGCATTTCACTATGACATATGTTTGATACAAATTGGGGATGTACTGATAAAAAACTGTGGTATTTATAGAAAAATTTTAACTGGGGAAGGCTGCCCACTCTATGGTGGAACCCACTATCCGCAGTCGTGATCACTTCCAAAACAGACACATAGAAAACATGAGCAAAAAGGTTAACGTAAGGAAAGAATGAAGGTGGACATTACTCAGCACTGTGCAACAAAACTGTCAAGAGCATATAATCTGTTAGATTCTGATAAGGTTGAGTGGTACCTGTTCTCTCTGAAATGTAACTGGTAGATTTGGAGGGTTTCCTGATACGAAGTCAAGAAAGGACATAAAATAATTAGTAAGAGGGAGTTGAGAGTGATATTTGAGACATTTTCCTGACACCCTCTGCAGATGGAGATTGCATTAGGGCATACGGTATGCTTTCCTTTTGATTAACGTGAATGCCCTGTTATATTGGGAGAGGGCCATGACCTTGATAACCCTAGTACTGCCCCTTCTTGGTTCTGCAATATATATTTCTAGAGATCCTCTGATATGCCTGCCCACACACAGATTTTTCTCCTTTGGATTTAATCTTGATGAGCAAAAAATCATGCCCAAATTATCTGCCTGGTTAAATACTTCATTGGCTAAAAGAGAACTTTCCAAGTTTCTGCTTTGTTCTGTTCTTTTCCTACCTCCTCCATCACCCTTAAAGTGACACAACTAATTGATAGGAGTTTTAATTTTTGTTATTGTTGCAGTTAAAAGTTTACTTGAAGGGTGGAATAAACAAATTTTGAGAGCAAAAACTAGGTTATATCCATTTCTATAGTTCTAGGACCTGGTATATACTAGATGCTTGAGAAATGAAATAGTAGACCTCTGAGAAATTGTTGTGTTTCGTTACAGTAATGGAAGTTTTTAGTCACTCAGAAGCTCAAAGATGATTAGCATAAATGGGTCTGCTTTTGATATTGTGAGGTCTTCCATAAGTGAGACTAATAGCTCAATGTCCACCCATTTTTTTGTGTGTATTTTAAATATTCACTGAGTTCCTACTGCACGCTAGTTCCAATGCACATAACATTGAACAGGTCACATTTCCTGCTTCAGAAGATTTATAGTTAAATGGAAGAAGATGACAAATGAATCATTACATTACACAGTTGCTGTGAGAAATCGTTGGAGGAGGAACTAACATAATCCTTCGGGGAATCCAGGGAAGAAGAGTAGAAATTAGGCAGTGTACCTCAGCCAGCTCATGAAAGAGCCCATAAGCCATATTAAGGAGGGTGGACTTTACACTGACCAGTAAGGAGTGAATGGTTCCTAAGGTGAGCACCGCAAAGATTCAGATTGTCATCTTTATAAGTACTTTTTATTGCTTACATTGTGTCTGCTCGATTTGCACAGAGATAATGTTGTTTATAATAATACTAGCTTTCTATTTCCTCTTTGGTTTCTGTCAGATATTTTTGAAAAAATTCTCTTATCTGCCAACCACAGGAACCTGGCAGGCGACCTTTGAGTTTAAAGAATATCGTTTAATTGTGATGATCCCAGCAACAGATAAATGAAATTTCTTTTGCAACTCTTCTTTAAGAACTTATGCTTGTTTATGTATTCTTGAATAAGGTCATTGTACTGGCTATCAAGTTGGCCGGTCCCTTGAGTGGAAATGGGATATATTCCTGACTGACAGACTTTTTGAATGAGCTCATTCACTTTTAGTCTGTGGGTAGGATATGTACTTATTATACATTTTACACCACTTACATAGATGCTAAGTCTCCCATTATTGAATTTTCTATATATACTTTCCCATGTTCCTGAAGGGATATGACTCCCCCAAATATGCCACTCGGAATAAGGATTATTTTGAGCTGAAGGCAATTAAGCAGCAGCAAATGAAAAAAGAGCTCTTTCTCCTCCCACTCTCTGCCTAAAAGTAGGACATAACTTTTCCTTTGTGAAGGTCTCCTCTGTCCCTTCTCCTGCCTCAGGAAGAGGACAGTTCTCATCGCTGGAGTCAGAAAGGTGGCATCCAGTTGGTCTGCACAAACACTTTACTAAAATAACTCTCTCGTCTGTTGTTTTCTTCCACGTATTTACTTCCCCTAATTCACAGCCCCTAGAAGTCCAACCCTTTATCCTCCCTCTTATCACTTCTTCACAATTTATCACCCTTTATTAAAATTCTGGGCAAGTATTCTTTGGTTCTCCACTTTCTTTTTATGAAGGCCTCTGCACAGGTAGAAATTAAAATGTTAACATCAAATAAGATTGGTTTCCCTTTTCTCCTGTTAATCTACCTTTAATCAGTTTAATTCACACATTCTGGAGACAGAACCTTAAGAGAGTAGATGGAAGTTTCTTCTTCCCCTTAGTTCTGTATCATCTTAGTGTTTATCTTTTTTGATGGCTTGTATGCTCTGTGTTGGGCTATTTAAATATTGACGAGAGCATTGATTTATTTCTGTCACCTTTAGTTTTTTGATCAGTGGTTTTCAACTGGCTGGATAACGGGAAGATCAGTGAGACTTTTTAAAGGATGTAGATTTCAGAACAAACCACCTGAATCACACTATTTATCAGTGTTCCCTAAAAACTAACATTTATGAACCGTGTCAAAGAAAACTTGAAGCAGAGAGAAGTTAAAGTGGTAAAAGCGAATCTTCATCAAGAACTATCACATTGGGGAAAAGAAACCTCAGGATAGAACTGGGCTTCCTTCTGAATCCTACAAGAATAAGTGGAAATTTATAGCCAAGGAGCAGGGTAGGTGTCACTGGATGGAAAATTACTAAGAGGAAACATTAGGGGCAAGGGTAATACTGGCTTAATTACCTTGATAGGATCCTTGTTGAAGGCAGGCCAGGGTGGGAAGATTGAGGGTGGGATGAGGAATTTTTGAGGGTAGGAGATTTTCACTAAACTGACTTAGCAGGATTGTTGCTAAAACCGAACTAAGGCAGCTGTGGACAAGCCCCAGAGGTAGGCCTGGTCAAAGAGGGGACTCAGAGGAGACCGAGGGAGTGTTTGTCAACAGCAGCAACTACTGCGAAGTATAATGAAGGCGATTCTGTGTACACATCTGTAGTTGAAGATTGAAGCCCTATTTTCACAGAGGCTTGGTATTTCATGTCAGTCTTTTCTTGATCTACTTTTTAATAGCTTGACAGGTCTGTAAATGGTCAACTTTTGCCCAGAGCCCCAGAACCTTTTCTCCTTTAGGCTTTACTGGAGAGTTCCACAGCACTAAAAGAGATAAAGTTAAGAGTAAATAATTCTTGTTTTGAAGCAAACACACTTCAACAAAGATTAGGGGGCTTAAGCCAGGCAACATTCTAGTTGGTGAGAATAGACTGGTGAATAAGGCAGACCCTACTCTGTTGATGCGATGGTCAAAGAGTAGAATACAGTATACCAATAAATGAACAATTTAACTTAAGGTAGTGATAAGCACAATGAAGAAAATGAACAAAAGCCTTAATAGTGACTTAACAGAAGACTATATTAAGGGTGAGAGGTCCAAACTGAAAAGTTGTCATTGTAGGTCGTTACTGGTTGTGCTCAGATTTGGGTCTAGTGATTCCAGCAGGGAAATGGCAAGCCCAAAGGCCCAGAGTCAGTGGCAAGTTTGGCCTGTGTGATGAACAGAAAGAAAACTGGTAGGACAAGAACATTGCAGGTAAATGGGATGAGGGGTTGTGTTTAGAAATCTCTTAATTCCTATGAAGGGCAATTTCAAGGTTTTAGACTTTGAGCACTTGGCTCAATTACTGTTTAAATAGCCACTTGTTAACATGGGAAGATAAGGAAATCATGGGAAGCAAGAGGTGCCCATTAGGCGTGAAGCTCCAAGTAGGATTGTGGATCTGGGACTTAAAGAGTGACGTCTCTCTCCCTCTCTTTGCTTCTTTCCCGGAGTCTTTCCACATGTAGCTTCAGGATAGCCAGATTTTTTTTTTTTTCCTGCTTGCACATTGATCAGAAGCTCCCAGAGCAATCATTCTAAAAGAAACCTGCAGAAGCTGTATGGACTTTTCTCACTCACCCAGGAGGTCATGCAGAGTCACAGACCCACCTCTTGATGGGAAGTGTATCAGACAAGTTGCAGTGTTTTAAAGCCATCACGTTACAGAATCCCTGATAGTAAGTTTGTTATCTTTGAAGATCAGTCATCCTTTCCCTTTAAAAATAATGTTGTATCTCGTTTGGAATTATTAATGAAATAGCCATTTTCTTTGTATAGTTAAGATTACTCCTTTAAAATATGAACCATCTATTTTTGTTGTACTGGTGGTTCTAAAATTCTTCATAGGACCTTCTTCCTTACCCAGTTACCTGACTGAATCCTGTAACACTTCATCACGTGTAATGAAATATTGAAACCAGTGGGGCTTTTTTAAAAGTTTGAAATTACTCAGAGTACTGTAGCCTTATCTTTAAAGGATGTAAGAAGAGGTTTCTAGTTCTGGATGTCATTTGTTTGTTAGAATGAGTCCTGAATCTGTTGGATGGTAAAATAAAAATTTTCAGCAGCTGAAATTGTAAAGAATTTTTAAAGAGCTTCTGACTTGTGTATTATTGTTGTATTTTGGAAATAGCATTTTTTTCTTTAAGTGAACAGGAATTTTATGATTTTCTTTCTTTGGATTTTATTAGAGAGGGAAAGTAGGATTGTATTTTTTTATATGAGAGATTTTAATAACTTAAAATGTGTGATTCTCATTCCTGACTATGTGTTACTCACCTTGGGAGTGTTAAGAAAAAAAACATGTGCCCAGTTCCTACTCTCAGAGATTCTGATTAGTTGATGCGGACGGGGGCCAGGTATAGGTGTCTTTGATAGCTCCCCAGGTGGTTCTGTTATGAAGCTACATTTGAAACCCACTGCGGCAGATTGTGGTGTGTGCTGATGCTAATCTTGGTCTCTGTAACAGGGGAGCAGAGGCAGATGGAAGGCCTGCCTGATGCCGCCGCTTTTGCAACTAAACTTAAAAACACTCTCATCCAGTACCACAGCATTGAAGATGATATGTGGCGAGTTGCCAAGAAAACGGTAAATTAGTTTAATTACTAATATTTGGGGTGCATCTTCTGCCTAATGAATCAATCAGTTAATGACTTTCAGAGTAGTATGGGAACATATGGACCATATTTTAGATGGATATACAGGATAGATAATTTTGCTGATAAAGTGTGTGTGTTACCGTGTAATAAAGGAAGAAACACAGTAATCCTTTACTGCTGACATTAATTCTGTAGATATTGGACATTAGAATAGACTCAAGAATGGCAACAGGATGCTAAAGATTAGCCTCTTAAGTCAACAAATAAACTATATCATTGTCAATTGAAGGAAGTATTGTAATTGATAGTTTGGAATAGTTTCAGATATTTCAACAAGTGTATGAGGGTGGCCAGTTAGTATACTTTTTATTTGTATAATTTGCCCCGACTGTCCCATGGCTGAGTGTTGACAGAACAGCCCTAGAACCCAGGACCCTTCTGGCTAGGTGCTCTAGCTATTGTGATGTTCAGAATTTCTTGGGAAATGATCAGAAAAAAATGTAGGGACTCAGGCAGCACTGTCGTAATAGCTGTGAGTTGTTTAATATTCGAAAACATATGAGCGAGTTCAGCATGAAATATTTAGCATCTAATGCCTTAGTCTAAATGTGTTAGTAGATAAGATTGGAATAAGGCAAATAATAATGGCCAATGGGATAGTGTCATCATTGAATGTTTACAGGGTTTGGGTCACGGCAAGATACTGAACAATCTTTTTGGAGGCCTGTAAGTTAAGTAAAATGTGAAGAACTTTAGGATACAGAAGAAATTCAAATGTGGATCATTTGATGCTATAAATAACTTTTATGCATCTCTGAACATTTACTTAAGTTTTAATGCAAAGACTAACCCTCCAGACTTATGAAATTGTCGGTTTTATATCCAGGGTTCTACTTATGTAATTATCACCATATACTGTTTTTATTCTTCTAGAGAGATGTCACAATTTGGAGAAAACCTTCCGAAGAATTTAATGGATATCTGTGAGTAAATCTAGTAGTTTTATGTAGCTCTTAAGACACTGCTAAGCATTTTATACACACATCCCTACACATGCGTATTAATGATCACTAAATGATCATTGCCAAATAAAACTGGGCCTTTATTTTTAAGATTTAAACTTTCTGGGAAGCAAATCACCTTAATGAAGTCAACGCCTATTCAATTTCCACATCCCTTGGGGACTGAGTTGGTGGTGAGAGGGTCATAAATAATATCAAACGACATACGATCTTAATTTCTTAGCATAGTTATAAGATCCTTCTAAGAGTCCTTTACATTCACTCACTGCTATAGCATACTTGATGCTAAGAATTTATCTTGAAGAAATTCTCAGAAAGATAATAGTTAAATACTTGTTTCTTCTATCACAGCATTGTTTACAATGTTAAAAATTATAAACAACTTGAGTAATCAATAGTTGGAGAATGAGTAAATTATGGAACATACATGATATTTTATAGTCTTTTAAAAAACACATTTTCAAACATTATTTAACCCTATTCCACTTGTCCTGGTTTACCAACCTGCCTCAATGGGATTTCCAGTTCTAGTTCCTGGCAGTGTACGTCCTCTCATTAACTCATTCCTCTTCAGGCAAATCCAGTATAGGAAAATCAGTCTTAGGACTTTCAACATAGATGATCACGTCATCCGGGAATAAAGGACCTGTTGGACTCCTCTTCTTTGGACTGGCTCCTCCTCCCCAAACCAATCGCAGCCTGCATATGGCTCTTTCTACTCAAATTATGCTACTCAAAATTGGCTTTAAAACAGGAGTTTTATTGGAGGCTTTCAAAGATATGTGACCCACTGGCCTCCACTCAAGGAGAGCAAAATGAATCTTTCTCCAACAATTCTCCATGGAAACTTGTAGTAGCTCTGGAGCACCCCACCTTTGGAGTGCTCCAAAACCTTTCCTGTCCATTCCTGGATAATCTCTGTGCTTCGTGACACTCTAAATAAATATTTTACATTGCCAGTGGAATTGAATTCCCCGGGGGAACTGTCACTTTGTTACTCTGGGTTTTTTCTTTTGATTAAGTACCCAATTTCTTTTTCTTACCAACAAATTCCCATTTCTTGCCTTTCAGTAATGACCAAAATCGAAACCAAAATGGAGGCTTTGCCTCGAGAACCCCTGTGGGTAAAATTCCATTTTGTTGAGAGACCTGCCCTCCATCCCTTAGTAAATATCTGTGAAGGATTGAATCACTACGAAGGAGCATGTGTGCCTGGGAATAGCCTCATCCGGCCTTTATTCACTTCCCTAAGATGGAACCAGAGGGACTGGGGCCTCCTGGGGAGAGTGGTCCTACCACTCTGAGAGTACCCCCATCTCCTGTTTGTGTCCATGTGAATTTTGGTGAGTGTGAATACCCAGGGGGAAGTTTAAGAATAAAAAAAAGGAAATGAGACAAAAGCTCAATGAGCAGGCTTTCCCAGGGTAAAAACAGCCAGGCCGCTTCCTTTTCTTCAGCCTACTGGTATATATATATTTAAACATGAAGAAATGATAAAACAAAGGTTGCCACGTGTTTACTTTTAGCAGAAGAACATTCACACACATACAAACACAATGGTATGTGCATAGTTTTATTTGTCATCAGTGTGAAAAGCAGAACTTCTTGGGCATGAAGTCAGGCAGTTCTACTTCCCTCCTCCTCCCTCTCCGGCCCTACCTCCCAGTGCATCACTCAGTAGGCTCTGGAGGGAGGGGAGGGAAAATTGGGTGCTGTGTGGTTGCTAAGAAACCACACCCCATGCGGAATCTGGGTGTTTTCCCCTGCCCTTTCCCACAGCAGATTTTTACTTTATTAGCTTTTTGAATAGGCAGCACATTCACATGTTTCAAACATCAAAATGTACAAACAGCTCTAAAACAAAAGATTCTTTTGTACCTTATCCCTCTTGATTCAGTGTCCATCTTCCCTAACAAATAACTGCTGTTTTTTCTTGCTTATCCTTCCAGATACTTTTTATGTATAAGTAAGTCATATAGACACATTTTATTTACCCTCACATTTTAATATTTTTAACATACATGACAGCTTGCTTTACACACAGGTATTGTATGTGTATCTGTATTTTTCTGCGTGATTTTTTTATATTGATTAATTAAGAACTCCCTTCTTTTTTACAGCTAAAGAGTGTTTCATTGCATGGATTTACCACATCTGATTAAGTCAGTTGCCTTTTGATAAACATTTAGGTGGCTTACAGTCTTTGGCTATTACAGGCAGTGCCTTGTAAATGACTCTTCTGTGCTCAGGAATATCCCTTGTACCGTGTGTTATTTCCCATATGCAAGCATATCTGGACAATAAATTCCTAGTGTCAAAGGGTATATATATTTGTAATTTAGATAAATACTGACAAACTGATCTAAACAGAAATTGAACCACTGTATAATCCCACCAATAATGCATGAGACTGAGTTTTTGCTAGTCAGATAAGTGACAAATGGCATTTCATTGTAATTTTAATTTCTTTTATAATTGGTATTTAAAAATGTTAAGAGCTACTCATTATTTTCCTTTAATAAAGTCTCTGTGTGGACATTTGCAACTTTTTCTGTGAGGTTGCTGATAATTTCTAACTGATTTGTAGGGTGCATCTTTATGTATTAGGATGATATAAATTGTGAATATTTTTCCCATTCAGTCATTTATCTTCTGACTTTGCTTATGACTATTTTAAAAGATTGCATATTTTTAACAGATTTTATTTTTTGTGTAGTTAAATATATTAATATTTTAAGGTTTTTGGATTTTGCATTTCTTACTTTGTTAGATAGACCTAATCTATTTTTGAGGTTATAAAAATTTTTCCATGTTCTAGTCTAATATTTTAATAACTTTATATTGATGTTGTAGAAGAAGAAAAATAATTTTCCCATTACCATTCTGAATTTTTTATTCCTATAATAAAAGGAGATTAACCAGAGAAAGACAAAAAAAATTATTTAAAAACATAAGGAAATCATCACCCTATAATTTAAAGTAAATAAAGTAAGTATTTAACTATGTATAGCATGAATGTGAGTTGATTTTATATATATTTTTCTTTTTTTTAACATCAAATGTATACCTCTAGATGGCAATTTTGTAGGTGATTTTTATTTCCATTCTTTGGTATTTGCATGTAGTTGAATATGAATTGTCCATTTAAACAGAAATATATATATATGTATGTATGTATGTATGTATATATATATATATAACTTTAAAACCAGCAAAGACAAGTACCTTGTATAATTGGAGTGGAATGTTCACATCCTTGGGGCCCAGTCATTTTTCAAATGAAACTGGGGTATGGCCCTGCTTCCTATATATACAGAGTGTTCTGAAGTATAATATCAGAGATAGCGTTTTCAGAAAGATGAATTGTATAATATTTATGATGAGGACATGAAACTGGAGTTGGATCGATCATTGTAAGCAAGGGTGGAAAGTGAATCCTTTCGATCAGTAATTCCCTGTGAGGGCTGAAAAATGTACAGAGTGCTGAGGGAGCATTGCGCTTGCTGATTTGAAAGGACTTCATACAAGAGCTAATATTTAAGCTGAGTCTAAAAGGAGAAATAGGCATTTCTTAGAGAAGAGAGGATGGATTCATACTCCAGGCAGAAGGACTTGCATCTGCTGCATAAGCACAGATGGGAAACACTTCAAGAAGTTTGTTTAGGGAGGTGGAAGTTGTGTTCATATAGCCGGAACATAAATTATGAGGGTGTGGAGAACGTATGCCTGCAGGAGTTTTGAATGCTAAACTAAGGACCTCAGCATGGCACTTAGCCTGTGTTCAGCCCCCAGCCCCCACCTCTCAGGGCCTCAGAGGATTTTACATTTACTCTAATAACATTGTGGCAGGAGCATGGAGAGTTGAAAGAAGTTTTACCCAGGGAGTCCGTGTCTAGCTTCTTGAAGTTCCCCTAAGACTGTATAGAAAATTTTGTCTTAGTGTGTATATTCTTGGGAAGACATTTGTGGCTTTTTTCAGATTCTTAAAGCTTCTTAAACAGTTAGAGGTAGACGCAGTGCTGAGTTGGACACAGAGCACAGACTAAAGACAGAGCATGGGAGTGGAAAGGGGCAAGAGGACAGGAAAGATACTTGGCGATGGAGGTGCGGGTGGTCATGACAGCAGTGACGTCATCTGCGGAGAACCAGATACTGTTCTAAACAGGCTGTATTTAGTAAGTCACTCTAAAGCACGATGACTTCTTGATGCTGACTATTGGAGTAAGGTTAAGAGGAAAAGAAGGTTCAAAGTCGAGCCCCAGATTTTTAATCAGGTGACTGGATTAATCTGTATCACCCCCACTGCCCATCCTCCACTCCAAGTTAGAGAACCCGGGAGGGAAGAGCAGATGGAGGATGGGTGAGATAATATCAGTTAGAACTTGAAATATTTGTAAAAATGATAAAACAACTTCAGGTGCTTTAAAGTAAACAAATAAGAATGTTGCCGATAAAGTTAAAGCCAGTCTGTCTCTCATCCCTTCTCTTTCCTTTCCTGCCCAGAGGTAATTGCTATCTTGAAGTTGTTTGTTTCTTTTTCATACTTCGACCACTTGTGTGTATTTCCTTTAGGGACCTGCTTTTAATTTTTTCCCATTTAATGTTATGTTTTTAGGATTTAGCCATGTAGATCTATTCTATCACTTCTATATGAATATACCACAGTGTGTTCATCTGTTTGCATATTTGCCTACTGGTAACTTTTTAGGTGGTCATCAATTCCTCCCTAAAAAGTGCAGTGCTCTGGGAAGCCTTTTGTTGTATGTCTCCTACACCTGTGTGATTCTCTGGGTACGCACCTGGCTCTGAGGGACATGCGTCATTCAGCTTTCCTAGACAGTGCCAGATTGCTGTCTGAAGTGTGGTCGCAGTGTGAGAGTTCTCGTTCCCTTCCATCCAGTACTTGTTGTTAAGCTTATAATTTCTGCCAGTCTGAGGGATATGAGATGGTATCTTGTTATATTTAGCTGATTCAAAGTGAAGTTGAGCATCTTTTCTAAATTCATTGGCATTTCAGGTCAATCTTAGTATGTCCTTTGCCCATCTTTTCTTTGAATTGTCTGTCTCTTTTTTAATGGTTTATAGGAATTAATTGTATACTCTGTACAGTAATCATATGTCTGTGTATGTGTGTTGCCTATATCTTCTTCCAATCTATAACTAGTTTTTAAAGAAATTCCTTAGTTTGTCATCTGTGGTATGCAAATTTTAGATTTTAACTACTTTTATTCATTGTACTCTTGTGTATTTTATATATTTTAAAAATACCCCTGGCCATGGCTGGTGTAGCTCAGTGGATTGAGTACCATCTAGTAAAGCAAAGGGTTTCTGATTCAATTCCCAGCCAGGGCACATGCCTGGGTTTCGGGCTAGGTCTCCAGTGGGGGGCACACAAGAAGCAACCACACCCTGATGTTATTTAAAAAAAAAAGTCCTCCTGCATCCAGACATCACAAAGATGGTCACTAATTTATTTTTGTCAAAGTTTAAAAGTTTTGCATTTTACATAGTGGTCTTTACTCTCTCTGGAATTGTTTTGAATGGGGTGAAGTAGGGATTTCTTTTTTAGTTTCTTCATTAAAGTAATTACTGAATCCCAAGCACTGTTTATGGAATAATGCATCCTTTCCCCACAGATATATACATAGAATACCACTTTTCAAGTATGTCAAGTTTCAATACTATTCATGAGGCAGTCTTAGTTGTTCTATTTCTAGGTGACCTGTTTTTTTTTTGTTCCTAATATCAAGTTCTTAAAAGTCATGGTAAAAAATATGTATATTCTAATAACATGTTAGAGCACAACTGAAATGAATAGCATACTCAGGAAATGGAAGTATCACAGTGTCTGCAGACTGTTCTGGCCACATCATGATGTGATCATGATGTACTTACTATGTCCATGATAATAGCACATAATATAGCCTTCAGATCTCTTAGTGGATTTGAGAAGAAAGAGTGCCTTCTGATAAAATAATTGACAGAACTTAATTTATCAGAAAGGTTGTTGGAATTTACTCCCTTCAATAAATCTTCATTAACTTTTACTCTTTTTGAAGTTAGTTTTGAACTACAAGGACATGCGGATATTTTTCATTTTAATAGTATTTGACTTTAATGTTTTTTTTCCTTCAGTTTCAAAGCCCAAGGTGTTATAGATGATGTTGTCAATGCTGTAATGGACCACATATGCCCAGGTCCCTGTCGCTTGGATTGGGACAGCTTAATGACTTCATTGGACATTTTGGAGCACTTTGAAGACGTATGTGCGTAGAAACGTTACTTCAGATTGTGTTTGTGTGTTTGTGAGAAAGAGGGAGAGAGAATGTGGATGTGAGCATGTGTGCACATTTGCACTCATGGCTTTGAGTAGTCAAGGCCAAGATCTCACGGGGAGTCCTTGCTGTATTACTTAATGAGTGTTAGTCAGAACTGGGTTTGTCTCGCAGTAGAGACAAGGGTAGAGACCCTGGCTGCTTAAGACAATCATCAGCATCTTTATCTATAAAACTTTACTTGAATTTCTGAAATCTAAAATTCTGAAAACACCACTGCTGTGTGTAGGTTTCCAGGTAAAGTGTATGTAAGTCTTCTATTTATATTAATCCAAAATCAAAGACCAAATATAAAAATGCCACCACAGGCATTAGAGAATTTCGTAAGTGAAGTGGCCTGCTGTCGTTTTCTACTTGTATTCATTGAGTTCTTGCCATAATTGAATTTCTCTCTTTGTTAAACTCTTTATTTATTTATTTTAGATAGAGGGGTAGGGAGGGTGAAAGGGGGGAAGAAACATTGCTGGGAGAGAGAAACATTGATCGGTTGCCTCTCCTACAAACCCCTACCTTCGACCAAACCCAAAACGCAGGCTAGCGCTCTGACTGGAAATGAAGCTGGCGACCCTTCGTTCTGCAGGGCGATGCCCAACCAACTGAGCCACACGGGGCAGGGCATCATGTTTGAATTTCTTTATTGAACCAGGTGGTGTTTTAGTCAAAGTGTTTGTGGATTTTATATTAAACATTTAGAGCCTACAACACACACTTCCATGTTGAATATCATACTGGATACAAAGAGACTTTGCTGAATTAGAGATTTGGGCATGGGGTAACCTATCTCTGTATTTTGATTATTTATCCTCTTCATATGCATACCCCAGTGAGATTTAGAATAGAGATCTAAACCTGTCAGAAGCATGGTAAGAATCGTTACTACTAATTATAATACATTTTAAGTGAGTGTTGTTTTTTACTAAAGATGAACTTACGGTACGTGAGTCTGTGTATGTGTGCCTACAGTGGTAGCACCTGTTCCCTTTCCTCTTTCAGAATTGCTGCGTGATGCGTTACACTACTGCTGGTCAGCTTTGGAATATCATTTCCCCACGAGAGTTTGTTGATTTCTCCTACACCGTGGACTATCAAGGAGGGCTTTTATCCTGTGGTAATGATCTCAAGGCCTTATACTTTCTTTCAGTTTGCTTTAAAACTCAATTTATTTGAGTTTTCTAGGCTGGATGTTTCTTTCAATATAAGATATATTTTCACAATTATTTATGATCACTAGGCTTTGTTTGTAAATACCGAACCCTAAGAATTAAAGTAACAATTTCAAGAGGGTTTTGAGATCTAAGTTTTTGCTTCCAGTTACGTAGTATCCTCCACATAACTGGTATATCCCCAGGTAACACATGTGGGTCACCTGACTGCCTCTCAGAAAGAGATCCAGTAGATGAAAAACAGCTTCTTAGTCATGCAGGTAGAAAAAGTAGGCTTGGTGTGTGTGAGAATATTGTTCCTTCTTTGAGTTGTGTGATATTCTTCTTTTCAAAATAGAAAACACTGCTATTAGAAGCCTCCTGCTTTCTAAGGCAGTTGTAGTGGAACATCTGCTTGTTTATCCTTAACCAGCTAGTACCAAAGTTGGGTATGGTAGTGCCCATGGGGAGTAGTAGTGACACCAGAGGTTTGAGTATTGGCACGTGGAGGCCTCGACGCTGCATCCAAGATTTGTGGGTACCAAGATGACCTGATGTTTTTCATTCCAAAGGGATTAGAACTTTCCCCCTTACTTGACTTGCCCCTTGTCAGAATTCTACCTGGTGATTATTTTTTGTTTTCATTCTTCCATGATTACTCTTGGGGCTGAATTTTCATCTACATAGATAACAAAAATTAAATGAAATCTAATAATATTTTTAATGAGAGTTTTAGACTTATGTCAGTCATTACTATTAATAATGTTACCTTAAAATTGCCTTGTAGGGAGAAGTCTTGAATGGAGTGAAAGGAGACCAGAATTTGTTCGCGGATATAACCATCCGTGTGGTTGGTTTTGTGTTCCACTGAAAGACAGTGCACACCAGAGTCTTTTGACAGGCTACATTCAGACGGATCTGCGTGGGATGATCCCTCAGTCTGCAGTGGACACAGCCATGGCCAGCACTTTAACCAACTTCTATGGTGATTTACGAAAAGCCTTACGAAAGGCATGACACGTTCGATCTTTGAGCACCATGGTTCCCTGAACCAGCTTTTTCTCTCGGCTCCATGGCCTGTATAAAACATCACCCTTTCCTCTCTTCTTTACAGCCTGTAGAAAAATTTGAGATGTTTGGGGTTATTTTATTCTTAAAGGAAATAGTTATCAAAGAGAGGGCGTTTTAGTTTTCTCATCGTTCTTTGCACGTTGTTTGGTGTGAGTCTCTAGGAGTGGAGAGTATGACAGAAATCCACCAAGAAGTAGATAAGAGTTCTTTGACCCACACTCTGAAGAAGTTGAATAGTGCCTCAGGATGAATTTTCTTGGCTGTTTGGAAATTAGAGAAAGCACAAGCTTCATGCTGTTAGGTTTAAAATAATCTATTTGAGAGCTTTATGAACATTTTGTAAAAGTTTTCATTTTTTTCAGTAGTTAAATATTAGTGCTTTACTTTTGGTATGCTCTATGAGTTTGCCAATATCTTGGACTAAAGAAAATATTCTCTATAAAAATGAACTTCATTGTCAATTGACTTGCACTACTTTAAGTGTTGAAAGTAGATATGAAAAGGATAGATGTCACAGTATCTATAGGTTCAAATCAAATGCAATTCAATTTTAATACCTAGGTAGCATTATTTCATGGATATCTTAAAAAATATAGTTGTATTTTTATGTGCATTTATTTTGATAGCCTTAAAACATTTATGCATGAATAAAACAGTACAAAAACTGCCAGATATATATGCTGGGACACCACATTGATTGGTCAGTAGTGTGGTTTGTGTGAAGTGGCTGGTGGTATCCTGTATTTAGCAACAAAGAATCATCTCTCTAAAAACAGTGGTCCCCCACCATTTTGGCACCAGGGACCGCTTTTGTGGAAGATGGGGTAGGGGGGCTCCGGTTGGGGCATGGAGCTCCCGTGAGCTTTGCTCCCTCACTAGGAGCTGTAGATGGGGTGGGGTGGAGACAGGAGGCAGAGCTTCGTTTGCAGCTTAGTTCCTTGGGGACCCCTGCTGTAGGTCAAATTTAGTGAATGTTTTGTATGTGTTTGACTTTTAAAAGTATTACTCAGCCCATAGAGTATTACTAGCTACTTCATAAACATTTGCAATTGTGATGTAACTTTTGTCTGGAACAAACAGATTCAGAGATTTACCCAAATGCCTAGATGAGTCATTTCATAACGAGAATGGACTGTAACAGGTCCCTTGATTCTATGATTGCCTTAAATGAACATTCCTAAATGATTTTAGCGTTCTAAATAACGCTGGCTTTTGAACTATCCACTGGTTTACTTCTGAAATGAGAATCCGAGGCATCTCAGTGTGTCCGGGTACACTTTTGTGTGTGTTTATGTTTTTGTACCTGCAACATCTTGAAATCTATTTCATTGTTCATTGTGAATTCTTTCCGTGTTATTATTACTGTTTCATTTCCTTTTTACTTTGCCTTTTTGTTTCGTACGGGGTAAAATGAAATCTGGAAACGTGAGCCGGATGGGCCAGAAGCAGTGCGGCACACGGCACACGGCAGTGGCTCACGCGCGTGCAGGTCTGGTCTGTGTTCTACGTTGCGTTTTCCCGAGTTGAGGAGAGCATAAGCCCTTGTTCCTCAGACCCGTTTTGATAAAATGGGGAAAGTAGAGCTGGGTTTTGGCTTTATTTTTATTTTTGCTATTAGTGATGATGTTAAAAAAACAACAGCAACAAAAGGTTGCAGCACTACAATATCCACAGTGAATAATCTCACAGTTTTTATCAGCACCGCGCTCTAACCAACTGAGCTAACTGGCCGGCCTAAGCTTTTAGATTCAGAATAATTTGTCTCAAGATCTGACAGAAACAATGCATTAATAATTCTGTTTTCTTCACTTGAAATTTATTATTAAATAATTGTTGCTCTTTTTTCTTCTTGTAATAGGAAAAGAACACTCAACAGTTCAGTTTGCAGTTTCCCATGGAAACTGTTGAGTGTTCATTTTGACTGTGTATTGTTTTTATTAGGTTTCACTAGTGTAGAGTAGGAAGTTTCTTGTATCCCAGTGTTGTATCTACGACAGTAAAGTGCCAACAGATGTGCGGTTTCAAGGTGCCCAGACTGGGGAAAGGGATTTGCAGCAGTGTTGTGCACAAGGGCTATTACTGCTTGGCTTGGGTGCCCCCAAACACAAATGAACTGTCCCCTTCAGTCACCCTAATGTTTTGTCCTTTTCAATTCATCTAATTAGTGATTATTACATAATCTGTTTACTGTGGACCTATTACAGGTGAAAGGATATGGGAATTTTTTTCATTGCAATATGGAGTCATATGGATTGAGAAATTATATTTGAATTACCTGAAGTTCATATGCAGGTTTTACATGGCATTTTGGATCTGCTGGGCCCTAGCGGTGTACTTAAAAATGAACAGCTTTATTGAGGTATAATTTACATGCTGTACAACTCACCAGCTGTCAGTGTACAATGCAGTGATTTTTGCACACCTTTATGGTTGTGCAGCCATCACCACAATCCAGTTTTAGGACGTTTTCATCTCCCAAAAGATCCCGTTGCTTGTTTGCAGACTCATAGCTAACTAAAGGTGAGCACCGTTCCCAGTGTATGGAGGATGATGAAAAAGACTGGAGAAGGTTCTGTCGGGTTTGTTTTCAAGGGTAGAGACATACTTGAATCTAAGCTCAGGAACCTTGTGCTGATGTATTAAAGTTTGTTATCTCAAGTGCCATAATGATACAGACATTTAACAGTGTGGGTTGGGGTCACAGAGTCTGCCGTTGCTGTGGCTGTGCTGTTGAGGAGCAAACTAATGGGAAGCAGTATGTCATTTTAAATTTTCTAGCAGCAACATTTAAAAAATAAAAAGAAATAGCTGGAATTAATTTAAATAATATAGTTCATTTAACTCAGATCTAAAATATTATTGTCCAGTATTAGCCAGTATTTAAAATCATTGATCCCTTACACTCTTCTTTTGTACTAGTTATGTGAAATCTGGTGCATACTTTGCTGATTTGGACGAGCCGCGTTGCTCACTGTCCACATGAGGCCAGTGATCTGTATGGAATGGCACAGCTCTAATGTGTGTATATTATACATGTATATTTATAGAAAAAATTGTTATTCTATAGTATGAAGTAGAGAATTTCATGAAATTACTCTTAAACACAAAATCTTTCCTGATTTCTGAACCTTCAAGGCTTACTAAATGGGGACTTTGGAACATTAGAAATAAATCAGTTAGTTGTTGTCAATAAAATAAAAATGATAGCCCCCCAAAGCTTTCTTTAAAGATAACTTTTCATAGGGCGGTTCATGAAAGAATATAATCTGCTTTGTTATGTGGTTGATTGTTTTTCTCTAGCTGATAGCTAGTTTGTATTAGAAACATGTATGCAGGAATACTTGGCATGCTACTGTTTTTAGTACATAGTACCTTTTTTATAAGGAAATTAATTTCATACAAGAAAAATAATTTATCCTAAGTGATACTTTTGCATGAGATATTAGTTCTATTGATAGCTCTTGATTAACTATTGAAGTTCGACACAATAATGAGGAAAATAATTGTGAGAATTTAGTGTTCTGCAGTTATGTGTGATAGAAACTTTTAAGAATATTAAAAATCTCTGTACCTCACTGTTCATTGTGGTTGGACATATTTGAAATTACAGATTTCTGTGTCTAAAGTTATCTCCCGGAAAAAGAAGTTTTGAAGTATGAGTGATTCCCTTTGATATAGGTAAAAGTTTTACCTGTCTACTCAAGAACACACTAGCATCCTTAAACCATGCTGTTAAAATCTAGTGTCTTTTAATTTAGTGGGTTCTGTAGCTATACCAGCCCTATGGATGAATTAACAGAACCTGGAGAGGTTGGAGAATTGGCCGGATTTCTGTCGGACCCTGTGCTGTGCGATGACCTGTCTGTGTATCTCCCAGGCCTTACTCACCTTGTAGAGCCAGGGGGCGGTGGGATCTGAGCATGGAAGAAGCGTTGGGTTAATCCCAGAGTACAGGAAAGTGACATCATGATTTCTTCATCATTTTGTTGTTTCCAAAGGTTTTCACATGTATGATTAAATAAAAATTTATCTCCTGCAATTCAATAAAAGCTAATATAGATTTTATTTCTAAGACATTTATGGTTTCTTTGTGAGCCAGTCTGTAAAACAAGAACCTTTATTCAACTGAGAGCATGTATTAATATAAATAAAATGTGTATATATTTTTTAATGGCTGTGAAATATATCAGAATAAAATTTCTAGAATCTTGTAATTTATCCTTGATACTGTTTGTATAAGTTGCTTTAATCTTTTTGACAAATAATTTCATATATCTGAACTTAAAGTATACAACTTAACTTCCTGAGCTCTTCCAAAACTATGCATATAAACTGGAAAATAAAGATTAATAATGCACATGCTAACCTCCTGCCAGTGTCTCATATCATATTAGCTACAGTACCTCTGAATCTTGATTTGCTGTTATATAGTCAGGGTGGTGATGAATGTATTCAGTAACATATGGACATATGTACTGTACTGTGCTGTACATGTTTAAAGAATCCTGTTAACTCGATTAGGAATTATGGTGATAATTTCATTTGGAGTTGAAAAAGCTGAAAGTGATCACAAAGAAATACTTGGCCTGTTATAAGGAAGTAATTGTGGATACTGTGGGGAGTATGCAATGGAAAATTCGACTATTAAAAGGTTTAAACAAATAGGTATTTTCCTAAGAAAAACTGATTATAGGTATTTGTTAGTAGTTATCACCTCAAGAATTCAGGGCAGTGATTGCAGTCCTCCTCATCTTTCCTACATCCTGGTGAGGTGACCGTAGCCATGGATATTATATGTGCACTGAAGCCAAGAAGTAGGGGAAGGCATGACACCGCGCATCTCTCTCTTTGATCAGGAGAACAGAAACTTTCCCAGAAGCCTCCACTAGCATTTCTTCCCCGTAGTCTGGGTCTCACGACTACTCCTAGCTACAATGCTAGCTGGAGAGGCAAGCGTAAGAATTTCCAGTCTTTTGGAGAGGGGGTTGGTAATGGCCCTTTGGATAGCCAACTGTAGCATCTCTCAGTGGATCAGCTCTGGGAGGTGTGTATACAGTTCCTTCAGATGTCAACAGGAGAGTGATGGACTCCCAAAATAGAAATTAAAAACAACAGTAGTCATTTACTTCCTCCTAAGACGTTGACTAGCTATCCTTCACAGAGGTCGTGAGGTGATGGAACTTCTTCAGGTTCATTAGCGGGTGCTGTCACGTGGCATCTAACACGAATGACCCGCGTTTGTATTACACGGTGTTTTCACACCTCTGGAGCAAAGGCTGCACTGTGGCTGCAGGCTCCTATAGCCGGAGGGGACAGAAGATTAATGGAAAATGTGAGCTGCAAGCGCACCCCCAGAGAAAGAGGGTAGATCCACACCCCTTGTGTTATTAACTGCACAGGTGATTTAGTGAAGTATTCTCATAAAAATAATGGAGGAAGCATAATATACAAGTATCAAAATAGGCTTTTGGCTCATTGTTTGGATGCTATTCTTTTTTTTTTTTTTTTTCAGGAGATTTAAGGACATCCCTTAAGTGAGAGCTGGTATTTTTTATTAGAAATAGTCCAGAGACTGTGCAAAGCTAGGTTGAAATAAAAATGTTTTATATGGTCAAAATGGGCTTGTTTTTCTCAAGCCCTTCTCTCAATTGAGAAGTCATTTGTTACCTATCCAACGAAGTGAGGGTTTGGGACTGTAGCAAGCTGCAGTTCTGAGGGTTAGCTCTGCTGTTACCCCTTCTCAAATATTTTACGCAAATGTCTGCTAATGGAGTGGCCAAGCTTAAGAAAGACTTTCTGATCCTTTTAACTCATGTGGTAAGGATCAGCTTCTTCAGAGTGAACGTGCAGTTCACTTTGCTCATGCTCAGGTCGTGTCCATTTGAAAGCATCATCATGAAGTGACCGCTGAGTATCATTTGGTCCAAATGAAACTAATTCCACATTAGTATTATTTCTTGAGGATTGATTTCCCCCAAACATGTAAAGGGCTTTATGTAGTGTTACTGAGGGAAAAAAACAATTGAGACTTCATTATTATGCAGCTGCCATAAATGAGAATTTATGAAAAAATGCTTGTGCTTTAGTGCTAAGTTGATGCAAAAATGTTACAATATAATTGCAAGTCTGAAAGAAAAAGACGATGCTTCTCTTTGGAAGACATTATTGTGCTAATTTTCTGTGGTTTCAAGGAGTTACAGTGAAACATTAGTTTTTGTGTGAATTGTTGCATTTACCTTGTGCCGCATGCACTGACTGCCCAGGGGTGAGTGCACTGAGCTGGGAGACGGCCGACCAGACCTGTTCTCTTAGACACTAACTGTGTGTGGCCTTTTCGGGTGTCATGTGTCTAACAAAATGACTATGTTGGATTAAATGACTACTACTAAGTTCCCCTTTTAACTTTAATGGTGTTATGACTTTAATGACATCACTGTATAGCATTTTAAAATGCTACGAAACTTAGAGTATCATTGTCTCCAAGAGAATGGGACCCCACCCCATATTTCGGATGTAAGGTAAATATCTGTTGTGTCACTCTCGAGTTGTGGCAACATTCAAAGCACAGAATGCAAAGTTTCGGTGGGTTCTTAGATGATTTATTACCATATCGAACATGCAAATTGCTTTACAGACTTCCCAGCAGCTAGATATATGCTGCTTTTGGCATGGTCTTTTGACACATCTGGGTGACTTACTACACAAAGTAACATTGGCCCTCGCTAAGGTCAGTTTCAACAATTTCCCGATATCCATTTTGTCTCACGTTGCATATCCTTCCTTTATGTTCCTGGGAAACATCAAAAAATGAGCTTATTTAGTCATTCAGTCAGGTTGTTCAACCCAAGACCGAGAAGCAGCCACAGTTGTCTGTGGCTCTGATGTTGTCTGCCCACGGCTTTGGGCTGCCGAGGGCGCCAGTGAGTCTGTCGTGTCCCCTCTGTTGGCAGCTGGGACTCTCATTGGAGAGCAAGGCAGCTCAGTCAAAAGCAAATGGGTGTAATTTTGATGAGTTCTCTACAAACATTTTCTTTATTTACATTTGTGGCCGGGTCAAACTTACATGTTTACCTAAAAAAATTTCAATATATCTTTGTATGAAGGAGTCGATAGCACCATTTTGACAAGTTTTAAAAATGAAATGTTCACAGCTCCTTTTTCAATACTTTTCAACCAGAAGATGGGGAGGTAACCTACAATCTTGCCTGGGTAAGTATAGTGATACTTTTTTTTTTGTCCTCCAAACCCTACACGTACTTGTTTTTGGCTAATGACTTGCAATCTAAGCTCCTTGGAGACATAGGTGTCCTGTATAGAATGGGACCCATTCATCGAATCCCCCATGCTGCTACTGAGATGCTTGTGTCTGTTTAGGCCAGTACACTTTTCACGATCCAGGAATACAAATTTCTCCTGGACTGAAAAGACATAGTGGATAATGCCCCGTGAGCCTGGGGAACTGTGGTAGGAAGTCCTTCTTTCTCAATGCCTGCTAAGTTGTATGTTCCGCACCTCCCGGTCTCTATGTCTTAGCTGCTCCTCTATCTCTCAGATGATAGTTGACCTTCGTTCCTTCTCTGGTTTGCCCAGAATAGGGCAGCCAATCACAACTCACAGACAGGATCCAAAACGAGCAAGGTGGCCCGATGATTAACAGTGTATCTGCTCTAATCTGATCCTCATTGGTAAATATTTTAAAAAGTAACTTTTTTTTGAAGATGGTTGTGAAATACTTCCTGCAATGAATGATACAAGAAGGGATTTATAGAAGGGGGTGTAAAGGGGCAAGACAGGGATGAAGAAGAAAGGACTTAACAGGATGAGCTTGATGTTTGAGGGAAGCGGTTGTGAACATTTAAAATTTCATCTGAGACTTAGCTTTAGGTACAGGTTATCTTTTGAAGTCTAAATGTGCAGGTATAATTCTGTGTCAATTCCTGCGGGGAGTGCCTTTTTGGGTCAGATCTTTTCTGAAGGGTTAAAATAACTACGGCAGAGGTAACCTTGATGTGGGCCTCCATTAGCAAAGCTTTAGCAAGTTGTTTGGTGATTTCTAGTCACAGAGCTCATCAGATACTGGAGTTCTGCAAAACTTACTTAGATGATCAGTCATTATTCTGCTTTGTCAGTGGAGACCTAGCTAAACCAATGCAGTCTTTGCTTCAGCTGGTGACTTGCAAACATTTCTTTGCTGTCTCGAGTGATTTTTATCCTGTTTAGGGATATGCCAAATTATCCCATAGTAAAGTATGGAGATCACAGAGGGCTACGTACTCTGAGGAAATGCACAGTGTCTACCCAGAATAAGAAAGGAGCAAGGTCTGTCTAATTCAACTTTGCCCAAGGTCTGAAACTTGTTCAGACTTAGCAGCACTTCCCTTAGATTTCAGCCTTTCAAACCCAAAGTGTTCCTTCACCACTTTGCCTTGCATTTTGTCACTCTAGATTTCTCAGCCAAACTTGACCCCTTCCTCTTCCCTACCTGCAAAGACCCTGCCCACCCTTCAAATCCAGCCTGTGTTCCCATGAAGCTTTCCTTGATCATTCCAGGCAGAAGGGAGCTCTTTCTCTTTCTATCCCAGAAGACTTACTACCTGACTAAATATAGCGCAGGCTCCATGTGTTACTTGTCTGCGGCTATGAAGCTCACTTCTAGTGCACTGAATTCATCTCTGCCTCCCTCACTGTACTAAACTCTTTCTCAGTGAAAGCCGACAGGAAAATGGGTTCCTGGGGTGGGCTACTCCTGGAAGCTTCAAAATCAGCAAATCATTTCCTCACAGTGTGCTTGTGATGTAGACCTAATATCCCCTAAACTCCACTGTTTAAAATGGTTCTGAGAGGAAAATTAGCCATTGACTTTGGTCTATTCATTTCTAAGGGAAAAAGGCACCCCTGATATTGAGAGAAAGGTAGAAATGTTCATTTCAATACATTGACAACTGCCCTCAAACTGAGCAATTAAGAACGAGCAGTAGTAATGTGGAATCCTAATCTACATTTTATCTTTTCCCTCTTCCATTCTAATTCTCTCCCCCCTACACACATCAGCTGAGAGAAGCTGGCAGACGGTTCATCTCTTTTCCCCCCACGTTCTACAGTGTGTCCCAGTGGTGATGTTGCAGTAGAATGAGCGGCCAGAAGGAAAACCAAGGCAGGAAGGAGGGAAGCCCTTGAAATTCTTACATCTTTTCCACCATCTGGGAAAGAAAGCATTTGGAACTGGGTGCTTTCATCCCAGGGCCTGAAAGGCTGGAAAAGGCCCACAGTGACCAAAGGGAGAAGCCTATTAACTACTTTGGGTATTCAAGTCTTCTCCCTCCCCAAGGCTGGCTCAGTCTCTACCTGTCAATCAATATATAACTTCTTCAATGCCATCCTGCCAACTATGTGAGTCCTCAGAACAAAGAACCTGGCACGCTTGCCTCCCGGCCTTTGGCTGCCCTTACCCTGCTTTGCCCTGAACCCATGCCTCTCCCATCCCCAGCCCCTACAAGGGCTGTTCTCTTCCATGCGAACATATCCCCGATAAATTCTGCTTGCATACTAACACATTTGCTGATCTGTACTTCTTCACGGCATCGGCAAGAAGAACCAGGTCTCTCCCTGTAAGAGTTATGTCATGTTATCAATTGCTGCAACAGTTTAGAGAAGGCAGTACGTTGTCTCATTAGAGTCATATAACTTTAGGTATTCCTAATAATAAGCCCATAGTAGGTTTTTCTACTCAATATCTCATTTGTAACCTTTGGCTGCAGATGTTCCAAGTCAAACACAAAGGTCACGCACGCATGCCTAATTCTCTCAATATCTGGGTCGCCAGCTTCCTTTAAGGCAGATACTATAGAACAAATAATTTCTCTGTGACAAAAAGAGACTAGGAGAAGGGTCCTTCTTGGATTTCTAAATAGGTAAGAACAGTAAAAAAACACATTCATCCAGGGCCCCCTCTTTTCAGAGGATTGAAATACATAACACTCAGAAAAACATGAGGATTAAAAAGTAGCCTTCTTACACGAAAGACCTGACTGTTAGCAAGTCGTCACAGAAGGTCCTATAACATGGCCCATGATTTCCTAAAAGTGATTAAATGAAAATTCAACTGACAGAAAAAGAACTGGAACTATTCTGAAGGATTCAGAACCAAAGGGCTCTCTCATTTCTTAGCTAACTAAGCAACATCCCCAGATTGACTTCAATGTGAACGAAAACACCAGTGTAAAATATTTACACGGTTTTAAAGATAAGGATCAAATTTCTAAAACATTCCCAGCGTAGAAAGCTTTTCAATTCCTCTCTCACCCAAATCAATTTATAGTCCAATTTTTTTTTTGCAGGAATGATGCAATTTTTAGTTTTGTAGGGACACTTTTCTAAGTTTTCCTTCCAGCACAATCACCGTGGTGGGACCACTGGCAAGAGAAACAAGCTCTCCTACCTTCCAAAGAAACAAACAGCAGTAAAAGTCTTCAGCGAAGGAGAAGAACCCTGGAGCATCGGATTCTGCATTCCTAGATGCCACCAAAAGGCATAGGGTGCCATTGAAAAATCGGGGGTTTTCCCCCATTAATTTTTAATGTAAAATGTCAGATAAACATTTTAGGCTTTTCTGGGCCATATGGCCTCTGTTGAAACTGCTCTGTACTCGAAGCATGAAAGCAACCACAGACAATATATAAACAAATGAGAATGGTCATGGTTTAGTAAAATTTTATTAAAAAAAAAAAAAAACAGGTATCTGGTAGATTTAGTCTGTGAACCATAGTTTGCCTGACTCCTGAAAACTGATCTTTGGAGATTAAAATTTATTTCGTTAGGTAATTATGTGAAACTTACTTTTTAAAAAAATGCACACGTTTTATATGTATATCAGAAAGGCCATAGATAAAAGGATGTTGGCATTCAAATAAGAAAGAGCACAAACAAAAGCCCCTGACCCCTTTACTAATAATCCCTTTTCCCTGATACTGTGCGTTCATTGGGCATAAGGCATCACTTAAATCCCTGTCTGCTGTTCCCACTCAGTGAACTCATAGGAGATCTTAGAATTTCAAGGGGGACACAGCAACCTCTGTCAGACATGGAGTGCAGTTCTATTATTATGTTATTCAGCTCTAACTACTTAAAAAATGGATGTTAGGTAATTCTGGTGGTTTTAGAGGGACATGGAAATATTACTGAGACACTGCACGAGCGGAAACAGCTTAGGAACTTCTGACATAAACAATAGCCTTGACAGTGTAAATGTAGATGGAACTGTAACTCATGAGTACGCTATCTACCCAGTGCCACTGCATATCAGCTATGAGATGGGCTCTAAAATAGGTCAGGTTAAAGGAGGCAGTTATGAGATGACAGTTTTCAGTTTACAGTCATACTTACTTGTATCACTGACAGACCAGATTAACTACTATCCGTGTATCAAGGAAAAGACAGAGAAAGAGAAAACCTAGTAAATTTTTTGTCATCTGCACCTGATTGTCAGGGAGAGCGTGCTCGGGGGAACACAGCCATCAGAATTCTGACACCATCCTGTTGCACTTGAATAGCTTGAAATTATCTTTTAAATGGAAAATAAAGATTATCATTTAATCTGACTGAAATGAAATCCCTATCATCTTTAATACAATGAGCCACAGCAAAGATTCCATGGATATAAATATTCCATATCCGTGGATTTTCCAGGTCAAGATGTTCACAACAAAATTTCTTCAAAATGTTCTGAGAGACCTACTAAAAAGAATGCTGTGATTTTCTAGTCATCACTGCTGTTTAGTTTCAGACTAAATTCTGGGCTGCCAAGGGCTTCCCATTTCTGCATCCAGTGCAGGGCACTCCCGTCAGGGTTTTAGAGAGGGTCTCTCTGTCCTCGAGGGCAGCCGATGGCCAGAGAGATGGAGCAAAGCAAAGATGCGGGACAAGTGGTAGCAAACCAAGGTACTGGGGAGAGCAAATGATCAGTGGAATTCCATTAATGAGTAATGACAATATACCAAGATTCAGCAGCATCGCTTTCAACCAGAGCATGGGAAGAAGTTTTCTTCCATTTGGCTCACTTGAGCTCAACCAGGTCAGATGCCTGGAGTCTTCACTAGAGCGATGTCTGGTTCCTATGAAGGGGTCGGCTGGTCCACTGCCAAGGACGAACTTGCATCCTGCCCTAGGTGGACCTCCGGGGCAGGTGACAGAGAAAAAACTGAGAGTGAAGGAAGTTCAAGTCAAGCAATCCAGTCCTCTCAAGTATATCACAAGCATTTAGGAATTGGATTTTAAACAAGGAAGAATACATTAGTCAAGTTTGTAATTGCTCTCCAAGATAAGGACAGAAATGGTTGGACTTTGTGATCTAGATTATCTGGTGTCAGGTGATATCTGACAGGTATGAGGAAAACTGGTCCTTACTGTATCAGGATATAGAAAGAGAAAATGCTGAACTTGTTTGCCATGGGTGGAGAGCTAATACCTCTCCTGTGGTCTTTTTTCTTTCTCCCTCTATTTGTCAAGGAATCAGAAAATTCCTCTAAGTTGTATCAGGGGAAAAAAGGACTTTGAAAAAAATTACAGAAAATTATTGGGTACATTTCTGCTTATTGTGTGGTTATGCATATTGTACCAATATTGAGATTATATGTGCATAAATGTTTTTAAAATACACTGAAGACACACACAGCGTCTAACCATTAAGCAGCATTTAACCAGTAAGTGTGCAGATGTTCACCACAACCCCGATCGGAAACATGTCAGTGACGAGCGTTAAGAAAATTGGAATATGACCTAATAGGCAGTAATTACAAGGATTTACAAATCCTATTATGTAGGTAAATGTCTGTAAACTTTTCACCTTCTGAAGTAGTATGCTGAATACTCTGTAATGACAAGTAAATTACATAATGGCATTGTAATTATGTAATTGGCTCTGCTTAGTGTATTTATGTCAATTATATGTGGAGTTGACTTTCATCAAGAAAAAGCCAGTGCTGATTCACTTTGTTGACTTTTTTGTTTTTGCATATTTTTGCAAGAACAATCTTAAAACAGAGTAGCTTACAAATTTTGTTCTTTGCCTTTTCTGGAAGTTGTAGGTTTTTCCAGTTTGAAATGCAACCAGATGATTCTATAAAAAAAAACCCTGTAATTATGAAATTATGAAACAAAATGACTCTAAATCTTCAGTGTGTAGGTAACCCACACACAGTTACCTTGCCTGTGACACTGGGAATAGGAATTACTAACGATGCTAAATTACAAAATATGTTTAAAATGCTATGTAATTAAGGTCACAGCAGAAGGCAAACTGTTCTTTCTTTTTAAGACTGCCACTAAAAATGGCTCTAGAACCTTGAGGATTATTCTAAAACAGCAGTATGTGAGAAATACCCAAAAGTCTTTTGGATCCGTATGTGATGGCAGTGTTGATTAAGTCCTTCTAAGAAAACCTGAAAGATGCCCACTGACGGTCACAGTCACATCTGGGGACACTCATCCCCAGTGGGTGATCTCGGTCATGCCAATTTGGTAGGCTTTGGTAGATTTCTTGAAGGAACTGTTGCCTGCAACAATAAAAAGCTGCCAACCCAGGCCAGGCTTACAAAATCCTATGAAGATTCTGCACACAGTCCTTCCTGCATGGGGACCCATGGCTCGCCCACAGAAAATGTGGCTCCACGAGAATACTCCTGGCTGCCTGGCAGTACTAGGGAGAGACTAGCCCGTAGGCGAGATTCCAGGGCCCAAAGGGATTACAGGGGCTGTGGCCAACGGACAGTCGGGCAATGCCCAGGGAAGTGCTGCTGCCTAAAAGGCATGTTGGGGGACGGTCCTCTGAAGCACGCGAATGAGCAGAAGTGGCCAACGGAGTGTCGACCTGGTTCAGTCTGAGACATGTCTGAAACATTTTCCTTCTGGCCTCCTACCCGCTCGTCTGGGTGGAAAACTGCGGCAGCTGTAACCTAAGCATAGACATTCGGGCGTCGTTCTGCTTAAAAATCACTCTAGAACGGAGCTGTCCCAATGTGGTAGCCACTAGCTACACGTGGCCACGGAGCACTTGACTTACTAAAGGTGTGACATGTACTCCGGATTTTGAAGACAGTATAAAAATAAAACTTTAAAGTGTTAATTTTTCATGTTGGTGATATGTTGAAATAACAGTTGGGATCTATCAGATTAAAGTGCAGTTAAATTTTATCTAATTTTTAGTGTGGCTAACAGAAAATTTAAAAGTACATAATAATGTGCCTTGCATCATATTTATGTTAGAGAATGCTTGTTCTAGATGATAACTTTTACAACCATATTATTCTAACTTCTACCTTATTTATGTATTCATGGAATGAACGAGCTCTTATAGTTTGAGAAAAATCGCTGGGATTCCAATTAGTCTTCTTAAAGGGGAGAGATGAAGACTGCCTTTCCCCGTGGAAAAACAGTCTAGGCTGTGCATCTGAACATTTCTGAAAACAAAAATTAATAATGTACTATCATAACTGTCAGCTCTAAGACACAAAATATAATTTATTGTTCTTTGCTGAAATTCCCTTAATTCTTTTGCTTTAAATATAATTTGACTATTGTCAATTAGGGGTAACATTATGAAGTAGTATGTCAAATTACAGTTTATCTGCCATTATTTAGCTAATCTTTGAGAAAGATAATCCATCCCATTTCAACAAATAATATACAAATGCTTGCTGTGCTTTCAAAACATTAACCCAATTAATTATCCTTAGGTTGTATTTCTATGAAATCTTGGAGTCTTTTGGCTGAAAGGACCTATTTTTATGAAAGTTTGACTTGTTTTCCACTCAAATGACTAAATTAGCCACTATTTAGGCATTGTCAGGACTTAATCTTTAACACCCAAGTCAAACTTTAAAACTCCCATGGATTTTTTTAAAGAGTACAATTTACAGATTAAAACCAAACCAAACCAAAGGAAATTACCCTCACACCGTCAAGTAGTCACCAAGGAATAGGCATGTGCACTCACTTAAACTCACACACGTGTCGGCCCTGGCACTTCCTGTGCTGTTTCCTTTGCTATTCCCACAGTCCACGGGGCCGACCATGCAGTCAGCCCCGAGCGTCGGGATGACAGAACTGCCCTTGGAACAACCTGGGTGTGGGCTGGGCGGGGCGAGAGGCTCTGGTCTTTCCGATGAATGACCACTCTCTCGTAGGAGCTCTTCCCCTCTCTTCCTCCAGTTTGTAATGTATGGAACATTTACAATATAGACCTGTTAAGTCTCATTGGAAAAAGTATGCCAAGTGATCTTTTTTAATGAAAATCTCAATGCTTAGTAAAAAAGTCATTCTTACCAGTTAACAATAGTGAGCCCTTCATAATAGTTAAAATGGAAAATTTGAGAGAGACAAAGGACAGAAACACAGAAGAAGAGAATAAGTAGTCTCTAGTACTTAATATGATAAAACAAACAAAAAAAATCTTGCTCTGAGCCCAGATGATGTGACTTAATTAAGGGCTATGTTCTCCATGTTGGTGATCTATCAGGCCTCTGAACTAGGAAAGATGAGAAATCCTACCTTGTTTTATTCTCCGGAGGACAGCAGTAAATGAAGATTTGTGCTTGGAAGGCAGAAAGCCTGTTCAGGTCCAATCGCCCCCAGGAACCAGAGATTTTGTTTCATTTTCCAATTGAATAGTTTTGAGGAAGAACCAAAAGAATTCAAGGTCTCTTTTTTTGGATGAGGATTTTTATGTAATAGCCATTTTTCTTGTCTATCATCTTGTCCTTTGAATATAATTCTTTTTTGAAATTAAGGAAAGGTACTAAACTGTGATGCATAATGATTTTATAAAAGTGTTTATTTCATTTCAAACTAGAAATAAGTCTGAGGTACTTGGAATTTTAATGTGATTTCTATAAGGGAAAAGTGTTCATATGAAAATCAAAGAAATATAGTTTGGAAAAAATCATAGTAAAGTATCAAGTCTAATGTTACAGCTTCTCAAGCCTCACTTGAAATCGGTTTTATTCTCTGTTTCTTTTATTTTTGTTTTGCAAGGTAAATAAAAAGTTTCACTGTCCTAAATTGACATGAAGACATTCTAAACCATGTTGCAAAATGTGGGCACTTCGATTCCAAGTGTGAGAAGATACACTAGCTTTTCAGAAATATCTTTAGTTTATAAGCAGTATGTCTAAATAACTGTCAATTGAAGTGAAAAATACTTTATAAACAAAAATGTTTCCTTATTCTAGTAAAGTCAATAATGAAAGATCTTGGAATAATACTCTTTCTGCTCTATTCAGACAGTTTGGCACCAGCCTATGGAATAGATTTTTCTAAATATTTGAAACTCAGTAATTATAGACTTTATCTATAAAAATGCTCCTATCCCTAAAGTTGTACAAACTCATTAATAAATCAATTTTATTTGAAAAATGACAAGGAGTCAATCTTGTTATTCCAAGTCCTGGCCTTGTTCTGGTCTTACCTCCTTTTCTTCCCTAAAATTCTTTATTCTTTCTGAAGTGTTGTCCATCAGGAGGACATCTTATTAGTAATACAGTTCATATAAATAAGAACAAAATAAAAAAGCATTCTTCACACAAGCTTTGGAGCATATGGTTTCATGGCCCGTTAAAGTATGCTTCAATTTCTTTTTTTTTTGCACATACCAAATGTGTTTACATATGTAATGTATAACCATCTCCTTGTAAACAGCTGGAACCCATGACAAGTGAAGTGTGAGCGGCACAGGGGCCCACATCAGGGCACTACCTAGTACCGGCCGAGGAACAGTCCGAAGGGATCACTGACTGCCTCATGAGGAAATCCAAAGGGTAGAGGACGGTTAGGTTTTCAAAGCAAAAAAAAAAAACCTTTGTTAATATTTACTTCAAATGTGTGCTATTGGTCCCTGAAAATGCATGTCTTAAAATGTTATGTTGTGTTTACTTGCAATTTCAAATTTAACTCATCAGTATTAGGTATCCATTACTTACCATAGAAGACACTATTTTTTCATAAAGCAGTCACATGCATTGAAGTTAGGATTACCAACTGATATATATGTATTTTTTGCACCTCGAAAACAGAATTACTATAGTGCATATCATGCTTCCACACCTTCCTTGCTGAAGGACAAAAATGCATCGTGTACCAGGATTTGGCTTCTGGACTGGGAGGAAGCCACCTAGTACTCTGGCAGGATCACTTCATTTTGCTGAGCTCCGAATTCCAGAGCCGGGTTTTCTTGTCCTTCTTTGGGGGCTGCAGCTTCTTCCTCCGCAGTCTTCAGCTTCTCCTCTGCTGGGCCTTCCTCCACTTGTGGGTCAGGCAGCTTGATCCCAGCCTCTACTGCCTCGGGCACCATGTTGGTGGCCACGGGAGCATTTACAACAGCATCTTCAACTGCCCCCTCGGCCTGCATCTTCATCGGCTCGGCCTCTGCCTTCTCAACTGCCACTTGGGCCCCATCTCCCTGAACTTCCTCTTCTTCTGGAACAGCTTTAACATCTTCATTGCCATCGTGGATTGGAGATGGCTCTCGGCTGGCCTTCTGGCTCTCCTGGATGCTGCTGTGGCTACTGCTGGCGCTTCCCAACCGGGAGGAGGCCACCACGGCCTTCACTGCTGCCTGATCACAAATAGAAAAGTGTCAGGTGTCCCCTCCACTCAAATCCCAGCTCTGAGCTTGGTCTCAACTTTGCATTCAGGGAGTTTGCTTTACATGTTAGTGTTTGATCTTTCAAAGTATTATTGTACCAAGATTGTCATACAAAAACTCTGGAGAATAAACAGAAAAATCTCTTTAATCTGAAGCCCATCTGTGTATTTAATCATCAGGACAATTGAAAGCCTGAGTAAATGCATTTGTCCATTAATTGCTGGGTTTCAAAAATTTTAGGCTGTGTTTCCCAAAGTATTTGCTTCAGGAAACATAGATGTTTAATAAGTTCCATAGATGTTTAATAAGTATTATAGAGGTAAGAGTTCCATGCTCAGGTTTATTTGAGAAATCCTGGGCTAAGTCAAGGTTATTTAATATAGGGTATTTTAAATTGATTTAACCATGAGGCCCTTCAGGCTTATTTGGTACCAGCTTGTAAGTGATGACATTGGAACACTTTCTGACCTCCAGCTGTTCTCTGAGACCAAAGATTCACAGTTTAGCTGTATATAGAGCTAAACTGAAACACCACCATGTAAGAGAAGAGCACCTAATTTCTATTCCATATATATTTTATCAAGAGATATTTTTATTGATAGTTTTCTACATCACTTGAATTATTTAAATTTTTACCAAGTATGCTAATTATTTATATTACAAAATATAGTTTTTTAAAGATTTTATTTATTTATCTTTAGAGCGGAAGAGAGAGGGAGAGAAATATCAATGTATGGTTGCCTTTCACGTGTCCCCTGTTAGGAACTAGCCCGCAACCCAGGCATGTGCCCTGACTGGGAATCGAACCACAATCCTCTGGTTCACAGGCTCACACTCAATCCACTGAGCTACACCAGCCAGGGTCACAAAATATAGTTTTTAAGGATTGTTTCCCAATGTTCACATATTTAGGAAGAAGAAAACTTTCTAAATAATTTCCACGACTCTGCTATTTAAGCAGCTCAGGCTTAAGTAAATGAGAAGTGATCATGTGTTTGGTGAGTAAATGTCAACATGTAACATATTTCTCCTTTTACTAACAATGAGTTCTTCTGAGTTCTTCTATGACTAGAAGTGGCTTTTTACCAGCATGGTTGGGATTTGAAAGCAGGGTTTTGCCTGTCACTATAGGAGATGGATCATAGTCTTAGATGAAGAGTGGTGGAATTATCTTTAACAGCTCAAGATAAGAGAGATATCTTTTTTAAGACAACAAGATGAAACAAATACCACGTTACCTTAAGTTTGCGTCGAGCATTGAACTCCTGGAGCTTCTTCTGAGCTGTGTCCATGTGCACAAAGTTGGCTGCTTTACCTGTGACCCACGGGTGCTGCAGGGCCTGGAAGGTAGTCAGCCGTTTCTTAGGGTCCAAAACAATTAGTTTCCTGACCTGAGGTGGTAAGAGGCATAGGAAGATGTTTATGGTGAGTCAGGCTTGCCCCTCAGCTTGTGAACTACTAGGCTTATTCTGTTTCCCCAGCAGTACCACTGAATAAAATTTAATTTTGTTTAAGTCCTCAGAGGTCACTGTGTGTAAGAATGGCTTCAGGCATTGGTAGCGGAGGGAAGGCAGTGCGGAGTGCCACCTGGGAGCCCGAACTGTCGGACAACTTTCCGGCACAGGTCGACGAAGCAGGTGCTGGCTGGCCTGTGCACCGAAAGTGCTTTGAAGGAGAACCAGCACCTCAACAATTCTAGGCTGCCCTTCACATCACTTAGAATTCAGGACTTCAAATGCATGTCGGTGGAGATGGAATCATTCGCTCATCCACCATTCTTTTCCATAGGGATTCAATGGCAAAAAAAAAAAAAAAAGAAAAGGATAGGATCATAACCTTTATGATTGGGTTAAAAAAACCTATTTAGAATTAAAGTAGAGGTGTCAGTGGCTTGGGGGCATGACTTGTTTCAAGGACCGACTTTGACTAGTTGCACCCATTCCAGGAAGTTTACCCTGCTTGTGAGGATGAGCAGATGATAAATTGCCAGGAAGATTGATGACACAAATAATCCCTGGCCCTGGGCTCAGAAGGGTGATCGGGAGTGAGTCAGAGGCTATTTGAAGTCAGGAGGCATGTTTCGGCCCTACTTAAGTCTCTAACCACTTCTGTGACCCTAGGCACAGACCCACATACGAACTGAGTGTCTGTGGACACTCCTGGGCCCTTTTGTTACATGATCTCATTTCCTTTGTTTATCAATTCTTACACTGATACATTCAATACATGTAAAAAGAGTTTACATGAGTATAATCCTTCCCATAACCTTATCGATTCACAAAGGAGTGATGGAAGGAAGCTCAGAAAGATTCAGTAACTTGTCCAAGGTCAGACCACTGGTAACTGGTGGAGGCTGTATTCAAACTCAGGTCTGTCCTACCTCGGAGCTCTGTGCTCACTGCACTGTAGTGACACCCTGGTGCCCAACTTCTTTGGCCTTCGTCTGCCCATGTGTAAGATAAGGAACTTTGAATAATTTAAGGCCTAAAATCTTCTCTAACTCTAATAACCTAAGGAGAACTAAACACAGGCTAACAATGTCAGGCAGCATGGCAAATGAAGAATACATAATTGGTTCTCCTTTTACTTCTTTTCTGCAAAATATGCAGAAAAATGTGCGTCCAAGGTAGAGACACTGCATGTTTAAGGGCAGAGACATGAGACCGCTCAGGCACAAAAGGTGAGAGGAGGAGGCGGGGGGGCACAGATGACTCAGAAAACGAAAACACGGCAGTAAATAAAAATCTGACCGGAGTCAGCCATCGTCTGTCGAAGACGTGAACCAATATTTTCATGTAAATGATGCCTAAACTTTAACAGCATCCTTTACAGTTAGATAGTTCACTCCCATTTCCCAATCATTCTTTTACTTTTCTTCACCAGTACCATCCTACTCTTCATGAAAATAGACAAAATTTGTAGAAAGCCAGTGCGTATTGAAAATTTACATATGCCAGCATTAATCTGTACATTTGAAGATGCTGAAGCACTGAGTTGTTAAGAAACTCGCTTAAGCTCAATCCAGTGACTTCTTCAGGATTCAAACCCAAAGCCTTACGGGTATCCTCCTGCCCCCCCCCCCGACTGCCCTACCCGCTGGCACTGTCCCCTTGCTGGTAACAGATGTGGGTTCCATCAGTATGCATCTATATGGTTCAAGGATTCCTTTAGTTCTGAAGTTTTATAAATATATCAACCAACAGCATTCAGCTGAGTGAAGACACATCAGTGTTAACTCTCTTGTCCATTTAATTTGTATTAAGGATGAGAGAAATGGAAGGAGGGCCAAATCAGGAACCATTTAAGTAGGTGGTCCTTAGTTAACATGTATTTTATCCCTAAGTCTCCCACTGAGCCAGTGTCAGCCCAGACAAGAACAGCAAAACAAGTGAGGTTAGAAAAGAAGCCCGAGGTTACACCTTCAGGTCATGAGACAGGGGGCACCTGAATCCAGGTGTGTCAGATTTTAAAATCCACGGTCTATTTCCTGGTTCACTGTTTCATTCAGTAAACAGTGAGTCTGTACTATGTGCCCACGTGGAGTGAAGATCGGGCACACATGCGTTGTCCTCGTCCAGAGTTTACAATATAGTTAAGGGAGGCTTTTGAACAAGCGAATGTAAGTGGTGACTGTCACAAAAGAGGACGTCCAGGGGCTGAGGACCGAAGCACTGTGGGAGGAGGGATTGCCGAAGGAGGGCAGACTAGCCTCCCAGAGGATGCCAAGGCTTGAAGATGAGTTACCAATGCAAGAGGTGTGCGTGTTCGTGTGTGTGTGTGTGTGTTTGTATGATGGTGGGGAGGGAGAGGGAGGCAGCATGGAGGAGAGAACATTACAAAGCAGAAGAAAGAACAGTGGCCCATAGCAGAGCTATGCTGATGAGGGCCTGGAAGTCTGGTGCACTGGGGTGCAGAGAGACCAAAAGAGGGGTGCAGAATGAGCGGGCTGGGAGAAGATCCCAAGCTCGGACCAGGCAGTGTTGTGTAGAGCTTGTTATGGACCTTGGACTTGATCCTAGGAGCCCTGAAGCAGGACAGTGACACGATGTGACTCGTCTGTGAGACCACTCCTCCGGACCTTGTGTAGAGAAGGGCACGGGGAGAGGCAGCGCGACCATCGGGAGGCCGGGCAGTGGGCCGGTGGGAGAGGTCGGAGCTTGGACTGGACACGGCTGGTGGAGGTGGAGAGAGGTGGAGGAGTCGGGCTGTTCAGGAGCACGTGGCCTGACGAGGGCACGGCTGTGAGGACGCACCTACACGTCGCACGTGCTCCTTCACTTTTCAGCCACAGTGCAGAAGCCATGGTCTACAGGGCATCTGTCTCATGCAAGGGCATGGATGGAAGGAGGGAAATGTTTGGAGGGAAAAAAATCTTTGGATAAAAGGTCTGGAAACCTGGACCACTGGTTCCCAACAGCGACTCTCTGCTGGGAAACAGTGTGACCTTGGGGGTCATTTCACTATTCTGGGCTCTAGCACACTCATCGTTAAAATGAGGGGACGTCATCCTAGATGACCCCTCAGATCCCTTGAAGAGCTAATCTCTGTGATTCAAACAAAAGTTAGCCTTTAGTCATTTCTACGGATTAATGGTGAGTACTTTAATTCCATGCTGGTATGCTCTTTATTTGGGGCCATTTCCCCTTTCATTTCCTGAATGCAAACAAACTTCAATATTGGCCTGAGTGACAAGCCACGTAAAACAAACCAACATAAACAAGAACAAAAAAAAATGCACTGTTAGTACAGTGTAACTTGTTTATAATGCCAATGATACGTGATGGGACTTGTTTTAGTATCAAAATATTTTAGTAAGTGAACATTTCAAGAAAAATGTCGTTTTATTTGAACTACAACCAAATCTAGGTAATCACAAGCAAGTTAAAACAGAATTCTTCTGTGTAAATTATGTTTCGATTCTCCCAGCACAATCTGTCTTCATTAGCAAGGCTGTGCATTGACTAGGTGGGAAAAATCATTAACTAATACTGCAGCAATTTTTAATGTGTGATAAGTCAGCTAATGTATTCATTTTTATTCTTTGATTAAAATATAATTACAAATATATTAAGGGGGACAAAATTAAAAAATGGCACTGCCCATTAATTAGCTAAAAATGAGCGTGAGGGGTTTTTTATTTCATTTTGTTTTTGTCATACTTACCAAGTCCTTGGCATTTAGAGACACTTCATCCCACCAGGGGGAGATAAAGTAATATTCACAATTCAGAATTCTCCTGAACATGAACTGATCGCCTCTTTCATCATAGAATGGTTCAAATCCACAAAGTCTAGAGGGACAAAAGATAGGGAATAAAATGTCTTTAAGAGTCCAACTACATTTCACCAATTTTTCTGCAGAAATCCAGGGCTGCCCTTTCCCACAGCTGCCTTGGGAGGGGTGCAACTCTGTTCAGCGCAGGTATGACATCACCTCACTCAGGCTCAGCTCTGAGTGTGTGAACACACAGTCATGTCTTCAGGAAGTAGGCACAGGCACAAAACCGATTTAGGATTTCTAAAAACTGTTATAATGCCATTAGTAATTATATCACAAAAAACAATATTCATAGCTAACATTATTGTAGGCATACGGGAATTAGACTTTCCATGACTTTTTTCACCAGGAATTGAGAAGACAGAGATTGATTAGTGTTCCAATTTATCACAAAGTAGAAGAGTTAGGGTTTTAAGAATAAAGAGATTAAAAGGTGGAAAGAAAAGATTTTCCAGTGATTTTTATTCAGCCCTATTCACTCAATTCTTACATATAAACGTGTAAAGTATTAGATTTTTATCCTATTCCAGTTTGGATTTCAGAGTGAACAAAAATAGGAACTGAAATGACTGTCAGAAAATGGCCTTTAAATCTTTATACAGTGAACTTGACAGATGCAACCAACAGAGATGAGAAGCCTAGAGAGTCTTCCACCTTCTATGTGACCCTCATTTTTGTATATCATACAGATATTTCACTGTGTTCTCCTTTGTGTTCCCCAACAGGGTCAGCACAAAAATAAATGGGAAAAGTGGGGGAAGTGATGGAGGACCACCTGTGGCATCCTAAGGGGAGAGAGGAAAAGTGAGTTCCTGGTGTAGGACCACCAGGCCTTGGCTGTTTCTAGGTGGGTGGAGGTTCTGAAATCACTAGGAACCAAGAGGAAAGGTTTTTTTTAAGTCTCTGCCAGGACACGTGTTGCACTTGACAAAGAATGTGGGGGGTGTGGTGGTGGTGGTGGAGACTGATTAAGTTAAAAACATTTCTCCACATTCTTTCTACAAGCTGGCCAGGTTGGCGCAGAGCAGGAAATGTTTAAGGGCATCCTAGTGTAGTGGGTTTCTAGGAAGAAGTCCTTTCTTCTGTCCTTTTGCTTAGGGAACACCCTTTGGGGAGAGGCTCTGTCATTGTCAAATATCCTGGAGCGAGGCAGGAAAAGGCAAGGTCAGATGTGCAGAGGCGCAGGCCAGCACATCCTCTGTGTCCCCCTGTGGTGTCCCCCGAGAGGGTCCTGCTCCAGCATCAGGAGAGAAGGGAGTGCGTGTCCACACCCGGACTAGCAGGCAGCTCAGCCTCACCGGGCCCTCCTGTGCCCTCCCGACACGAGGGAAACACAGCCTGCTGTTGGTTAGGCGCAAAGAGATTAGGCGACTTTCCAGCTTTGGTTTAGGGAACTCTCGTGTTTTCCCTTCTGGAAATCGAGAGAGAAAAGTGACAGTTCAGAAGGTACAGTATTCACATGCCTTTCTCTCCTCTCAATCATTTTGGCACATGTGTGCACTGGTGATGGAGGTAATGAGTTTGTCATGTCAGCCTGGAAGACCAAAAATGGGAGCGACGTGACACACAGCAGACTGTGTGCACACATATTCACACACGCAGAGCAGAAGCCCCGCAGCAGTGGAAATATTTGAATGCCGACAAGGACAGTGTAGGCGGATATTAGGATCACACGGGCCCGACGTGTGAATGTGTAATACAACGTGGCTCCAGGCCACCAGGCGAACTGCGCTGCTGACAGCTGAAGGAGAGACCGAATCTCCCACGTTTTCTGACTGACTCGCGTCTGAGCACTGAAGCTGTTGCTTTCGTCTGTGGGGACAGAGGGTTTAGGTGTCAAAGGTAGAAGGACCAGAATTCCTGTGGGAAACAGCAAAATGGCCTTCATTTCCAGTCTACTGTTTTGCTCAGAAATAGCAAGGTGGTAACACCAAACAAATGGCCTGGTGGAGCCTTCAACAACATTCAATAATACAGGAGATGCATATGTCCAAGGGCACAGTCCACTGAAGAAAATGTTCCAGTGAACCTTGCCTGGTAGACTTCATCAATTATTAATGAACTATAGATTGAATAAAAAGCCCCGAGCCATGCTCAAGCCCCCAGCAATGGGCAAGGGGACACCTGAATGGGGCAAAGGAGACAAGCAGTCCTTTGTTCATCCCAGTTCGATGCCTACGTAGGTGGCCAGAGCTGTGTCATGCCTGGGGCACATATGAAAAAAAAAAGGTCCCCAGGCTGACAGAGTTAGGCCAGACCAGAACTATTAAGGGATATTAGTCACATGCAGCACTCTTATTTTCACTCCGGGGGTTCCTGTGCCTACTTTCAACCACCACCTATTAATTAATGACCTTAAGTAAACTACAGGGAAAGATCTGAGAGACTTTAAAAAATTATTTTCAGGACTATAATAAGACGTGTCTCAAATGATCACATATTTTTCTATTCATTTTCCCATGTCAGTGACCATATCATGGAGTTTTATTCATTCCATATCTCACTTTTACAGGGTGAATGTAAGTTAATTTCTTACCTCTATCTCCCCGAGTTCCTATACTTCTTTAATACTCTAACCCCTCTCATAACTTTTCAGTGCGAAATTGTAATTAGTGGGCATATTTACATTTTAGGGGCAAATCTGAATCACTATTTGTGTAGTTCAGTTTTTCACTTAACATCACTAAGTATGGTACGTCACACACATACTTTCCCCAGGATGAAAGTGATCGCAAATATAAGCTGAAGGAATTCTATGATGTGGCCTTGGGAATCCATTTTAATGAATAAAACAGTTAGTGTGGCAAACAAAAATTACCTAACAGTTTGCATTTTCATAAGGAAAAAAGAGTGGTTCTCTACCTCTCCAAATCTTCCGAAGCTTTAATATATTCAGGAAACACAAGGAACTGGTCACTGAAAATACCTTTTGACGTTACATAGTAGCAGATGGCTGTTTTATGGTTTGCTTGTTGAGCCATCTGTCTTGGCTACTGACCAAAATATATACTCAGAATTTACTAACTCGGTGGGGGTCCCACCCCGGCTACCCCATGCCTAGCCTATTACCTAAGCACTGCAATTTCTAAGATTACTATTAAATTTCAAAAACAAAGCCCTCTTTCTTCCACAGCCTGAATTGTTTCCCCTTCCCAATTCATACGTTAAAGCTTTAACCCCCAGTGTGATGGCTCTCGGAGAAGAGGCTTTGGTTGGGAATTAGGGTGAGAGGAGATCATGGGGTGGAATCTCATGGTGAGATTAGTAGCCTGTTAAAAAGAGACGCCTCGGAGCTAGCTTCCTCTCCCTGCCAGGCGCAAACACAGTGAGAAGGTGGGTCTCTGAAGGAAGAGAACTCATCAGAACTCAACCTACTGGCACCCTCGCCTAGGACTTCCAGCCTCTGAACCGTGAGAAATAAATTTCTGTCTTTAAGCCACCCAGTCCGTGGCATCTTGTTCTGGCAGCCTGCACTGAAAAATAACACGTTCTTTTACACCCTCTGAAATCTCCTTACAGATTTGAATATTACAGGTTCTGACAATTAGCCTAGCAGCTACCTCTAAATGGCAACCAAATCTCCTTGTTTAAATTCTGGAACTCACTGATAGCTTGCTTTTTCCGCCGTTCCAGCCATCTTCCTCCCCAGACACTCTCCCATCATTCTTGCGTATTTCCTCGTATTCATCTACAGGTCCCTCCTCTCCCTGGTGAGTTCCCAGCAACCCTGGTTTATTAGTTGTCAAGAGCTCAGGAATGGAACTGGCGACATCAGAGGGTGAGAGATTTAGCTCATATTTTTTCAACCAGAGAAAATGTTTCTCTGAGTTTAGGGTATTAAACTTGAGGTACTTGAGATAGGAAACAAAATTGATAGCCAAAATGCATTGAAAGTATTCCTGATAAGAAATGTATCAGTTTGGGATTGCTTAAATGATTAAACAGCTATTTGCCCTTTAAAAAGGACTAATACCCTAATTATTTTGATGAGATGCAAATAAGTAAAATATGAGCATTTTTAATAGGTGAACATGAATTTTAGATTTATTATTATCACCAAATATGAATTGTTCCCCAAATCTGCTATGCATCACAGATTGCACACAGAATGGACTAGACAGAAGTTCTGGCCCCCCCAAAATTACAGAATGGAAGGCAATGCTCATTTTCAGAAAATTCGATCATTAACCATATTGAGTATGTCATAGAAAATCGTGAAAAGTCAAAAAGTACTCTTGCCTTGTATGAGGACTACTATGATTACCTATGATTATGAGAAAATATCACGGCAAAGCCAAACAGTTTGCAGGAAGATTGCTTTCCTTCACTTACAGGATGTAGGTGATTATCCCCACGGACCACATGTCCACCTCAGGTCCATAGGCGCAGCCTCTAAGAATCTCAGGTGCTGCAGGGAGAGGAACAATTATGTTAAACTGGAGTTTGAGCTCAACATTTACATTTTAATAACAAGTCATGGGGAGGAAGCGAATTTATCAACATCAACTTTAGAACAGTTTTATAACCAATCTTCTCTCCCCAAACCAAGGAATGAGGCCACAGAGTCTTATGTCTATTTTAATGGGAGAGATTACAGCCTCTCTGTGTTTGGAATGCATAAAAATAAAACTATTAACTTTAATATCCTGCATCAGAACATTGCGATAATGCTCAAATAAGAGAGAGAGCTCTATCTCTGCTACAAAAGATCCGTTACTTCAAAGGAAGCTTTGTACATAGGAAAGAAAGAAAGGAAAGCTTAGTATAGTAAGGGAACACAGACACAATTATGCTACCTTGGGAACCAGATCTGCTAGGGCAGGGCGTCCATGAGTGTGTGTGTTTGGCAGAGGACCGGCCAGAGACCAGGGCAGATGGTGGGGAGGACTGAAGCTCACCAGTGCTGAAAGGTTGGAACACGAGCCAGAAGGGGCCCTGGCATATGCCCCTGTGTGGTACTGAGAAGTACACATAGGTCCCCAGAGAGCAGCTGTCCCAGTGAGTCTGGGATTATGAGCTGAGAAAGGAGGACTTCTCAGTGTGTAATGAGGCTGCTCCTATTAGCTCTGCCCACTTCGTGAAAGAGGAAGGCATACTCAACCGCAAACTAGCCCTGTAGCATAGAAGTGTGAGAGTTCTTTCATGTTTTTATTACTGTGGAGCTGCGAAAATGGAGAGTTCACTGAGTCCAATCATTTGTTCTGAGGATCGCAGGTGTGTTCCTGGTTTGCCTTACTAACAAAGGAAGAAAAGACGTGAGAGCTCTGCCATCTGTGCCTATGGTCCTGTGCTCAGGACCATAACCCAGAATGGACTTTTTCTGGAACAAAGGTGCTATAGGTGTCAGTGGGGTCCCTGGAGGAGGACCTGACCGATGAATGCTGAGGACTCCTTGAGGGACACCTTGGGGATGGGGTCCTCCTCCTCCTCCTTCCAGCTGAGGACAGGGGAGCAACTGAGCTGCATCCCTGTCCACAGAGGCCGGAAATGTCATATTGTCACAGCGAGGTCCAGAAGGAAGCTGTCCTCATGGGACTCTGCTTTTAATTTATAGGAGGAAATACAGTGGATTTGCCACTGACATATTCCCACACCACCCGCTTCTCCCCATCCTTTCCCCGCCAGGAATTTCTCATTGCCATAGGAACTGCGCTACATAAACTACGGGAGAGGAAGAGCCGGACGGTGAACCGGGAGTGTGGGTACAGCGCTCTAAGCAGCATCCAGCATGGTGCACCCGTTGAGGAATCGCATCTGGGGCCAAGTAGTTTTTCTCATCCTCAAACAAATTATTCCTAGAAAAATTCCCTTTTAAGATTTAATTAACATAATTAAGAAAAATGCACGCTCAGTGCCAGCGCCATTCACTGTGTCAGGTTGGCTTGCATTTCCCAGAGCAATCTGTACCCCACAGACGGTTCCTTTGGGCCCCCACAGCCCCAACACTGCACTCCCACTCACAAAGGCTTTGCGCCACGTAGTGCAGCAGACACTCAAGTCAGGCTGCCACTCGCACGAGGGCTCCTGCTGCCTGTCTGCCGCCCAGAGCTGCTCCAGTTGGGGAGCTGCAATGCGCCTGCACATGAAGCAGCTTCCCAGCTCAGGTCTTCACAGCAGCGAAGGGCTACCAAGTCCCACATTGCCATTTAACCATGAATAGTGACCTATGTGGGGGAGAGTCTTTTCCATTTTCTGGGTCTTGGTTTTCACCTCTAAAATCTAAGTAAATTGGGCTGGCTATTTCCGAGTTTACTTTGAGTTTTAAGCTGCAAGCTACTGTGATACTGCTAAAGGGAGTCGCTGATAGTTTGAGCAAGAGGTCAAACTCTCTACTCCCAAACCTGCTGCACTCCCCCTGCCCCACCGGCCAGGGCGCCTCCTGCGTCTGCTTCTCTGTGGGCACCCTTCCTGTGGGCTCTGGTGAGACCTTCCCCCATCCTGTGTGGTCCAGAGATCAGCGCGTTGTCACAAAGGTCAGGTGTTTTCTCTGGCACTTCTCCATAGTCCCCAGGCCCGCAGCCCCGGATAAAGTGAATACCATGGAAGAGTATTCTTTCCGAATCTACTTTATAGGGCATCTGGATTTCTCGTATGACATGGTAATATATGATCTCCCCTCAAGCACTGGTGCACACTTTCCTTCCAGAGGCAACTTCCTTCCTTGTAATCATCATGCTGCAATGTGAGTAAACCGTGGTGTGAAAAGCTGACCTCTCCACCACGGGGCTAACGGAGACAAAAGGAATGTAGAATGTTTTTTGTCCGTAATAAATTTCTCATAAAAATATTTTTAAAGGGATTTATAATATATATTAATCAGAATAAAAATTTGGGTGAAACAAACTCGAAAAACCTAGACACAATTAGATACCATTCATACTATCTTTTAATATTTTCAGTTACTAGTTAATGTGAACCTGACTTCAGAGCCAGAAGAACACACTCATAATTTTTCTGAACCCTTTCCCAGAGTCAAAGCTTTTCTAGAATACATTTTAGGCTCTGGCACACATTATGTCTCCTAGGTTTCAAATGTTCTTGCAGGTGATTCTACAAACGTGATTTTCTTAGAATGAGAAATAGTTGACTACTTCCAATTTAGTTCAAGAAGAGATAAAATCTAGTCCACTTTTTAACACTAATAAGCACGTCTAGCTGTGCTTCATATCATTTCTGACCTCACTGCCAAAACAAACAAACGAACAAACAAAATGGAGCGAGAAAATAATTTCACAGTGTAACACGGTTCTTTAGGATGAATTTAAAATAGTCTAGAGCCATCTTTTCTGAAATAGTCAATAATAACTCACTGATCTTCCTGGCTCTCTGCTCAGTGGATCCACATTTTCTCCCACGTCCACAATTACCTTGTCCTCGGTGGCACAGCCCACTGAGCACCAAACCCCGCAGAGCTACCAGGGTGAAATAGGCTCTGAGCTCCGATACGGAGTGATTTTGGTAGATGGTGTTGAGATTGCCAAGGTACCAGGCATATGTTTTTAAAAAAACAATTTTAACTGAATAGAAACATTCTAACTCTAATTATGATATTTATTCAGCAATACCCCACTTAGACCTCACACTGCTGATTTTTTATAAGACCATGGTACAATGACTATATCTAGAGATGGAGGGTCCACCTAGAGATAGGAGTGAATATTGCTTTAGTAAATAAAATTACTGTGACCGGCTCTAGAAATGATGTTAAATAAAAAGAATCAGGTACAGCCTGTGACATGTAGGGAGGATCGGTGCTGGGTTTCCCTCTTTTTCTAAGGCCCTAGGAGAAAAACAGAGGGTGATTCCGGTCCTTGATTGTGTTGTCATTTTGTTGGTGTCCTAGAGAAGCTTCATGACCCCTTCCCACCTGTTCAGTTAAAACTACAGGCTGGCATTCTTTATCAGAGAACTTTTTAAAACTACTGTGAACTGTTTTGAGAGAGACAAATCACAGAGACTAAGGTGAATGAAATCAACAAGTTCATTCATTCACTCATATTGCTGAATAAATTATGGATGACTTTAAGCACCTGCTGCATGACAGGCAGTGTATTAGGTGGTGCTGGGGGAAGTGAATAGTGGGGACTTAAAGAGAACAAGTCTCTGCCATCACAGAGCTTCCAGTGTGGTAGAGGAGGCAGATGTTGATCAGGAAAACCCCGAGAAGAAGTGCACAGTGGTGATGAGAAGAGCTTGTAGGGAACGTGTCTCTGACAGAGGGTTGCCCCAGTCGGAATGAGAAAGCAGTTTAATCTGAGATATAAAGGACCCAGGGAAGCCAGCGAGGCAACAGCAGAGAGGGTGGTGGTGGGGGAAAGAGAGAGAAGAGCTTTCTCTGGGTGGAGAAAGCACGTCTGAAGAGACGTTGTGGCAGGGAGGGGCAAGGGGCACTCACAGAACTGGGAGGAGTCAGTGTGGCTGGTGCACAGCCGGGTGTGTGCAGTGAGGCTCCGGTGTGATGAGTGCCCAGTGGAAAGGTCAAGGCCAGGCTGCAGATTCCACTAGGTCAGGGTCCTTGTTTGTTTTTAATTCTTTCCTGTGTTTTAATTTTATCGATTCAAAACATATGGGGGAAAATTTATCTTCATCTTAAAGCCTGAATCTGTTTTTACTCCTACAGGCAGGAAAAAGACTCTGTGGGACTTGTTTCACTGTAGAGGCTTGTCTTGAATTTGGAGATTCTTGGGGTCACAAAAATCCATTGGCATTCAGCACAGCATCTAGTAGTCTCTCTAAACCTGGCCTCCGGGGCATAGAAACATGGGACAGATGGACAGCTGTAAGAGGTGAAGGGGGAGGCGGGGATTGATGAAAGAAGGGGAAGGCCTTGGTCAAAGAACATACGTGAAGGACCCATGGACATGGACAATGGTGTCGGGATTGACTGTGGGGTTAGGCATGGGGAAAGGGGAAAAACTGGGACAACTGTCATGGCATAAACAATACAATATTTTAAAAAATAAACTTGGCCTCTGGGGAGTGAGCAGTGTGAAAGGAGGAGGGAGAGGGACTTAACTGCCAGAAGCAGAAGAGCAGTGCCTGGCGATTCTCCGCCCCTTACCTGTTCCTAACTTGGCCTAGGAAACCAGAGGAGAAGGGTGCACCCAAGGCAGCCTCCTACAGGCAGCAGAGCGCTCACGGTGGGGCAGATTATGTTATGGTGTCACGTACATTTAGCAAGTACAGGGCATAACCTTTTAAACTTTGTCAAGTGCAATTTTTGCCATGACAGCAGAGAAGAGAGGCGATGTCCACTGCAATGTGCTAAGTGTTATGACAAAGCCGTGGATCAGACTGGGATGCAGTTGAGATGTTTCCAGAGGGGGGTGCCTCTGGCTCGGAGCAGCCCTGTCTGTTCGCGTCCCGCACCACCTCTCAGCCTTCTACCAATTCCATGCATCCCATGCC